TTGTCCGGGTAATCATCTGGTGATGAGCCTTCAAAGAAGGAAACGTAAAATCATTAAAAAACTTGTAACTGTTTAAGTAACTTTCGTTAACCTTTCTGAACTTCAGTTGTGGTACTCTAATTTCCTCTTAAGCACTTCAAAAAATTTATCAAACTAGAATCAAAAGTTAAGGAGGGCAACATACAATGGAAGTCATTCATTTCTCATGATTATTTTTGGTCGTCAAAGGTGAACCATTCCAAATAAGATCACAGCCGACCGAGTTGCAAAATAAAAAAGACTGGTTTGAGGTCAATAACAACTAGGCATTCCGCGCGAAATTTGATAATAGCCTGGGAATAGCCTGTGTTGGAACTCGCCATGTGACTAATCGACGTAAATATAGTTTACACACAGGAATTACATCTGATCTTCACACAGTCAACAAAATCACTTGCAGTAATATCAGAGTAATTATGCCGAGAAAAGCGAGATCACTTTCGGAGAGGAAGACCATGTAATCCTGTATCATTATATCTTTCGGATCAAAAATGGCGGGCTTTTCAATCTTCGAAACTCTACACGTTGTGGATTCGTTGTAGTAAACTGTCTATTTGTTTTGGCTGCATTGGATAGCACCTCTGAACTCAGTAATCCTTTGGATACTTGGCGAAAGGAAGATCAGGATAATGTATCACCCGTTAAAACACTACAAAGGTTGGTGAAGTGTAATAGAAAAAAGTATTTTTGGTAAAATTTCCGCACAGCCCCCTACTATCGCAAAACAAATCTGTTTCCCCAATGGCAATGTGTTGTTTTTGTCATTGTTTTCTCTATCCAACCAAAACTGTTGTTGAATTGGCATGTGGCTGTAATTACACACCAAAAAAAAAATCTTTTTCCTCTCTCAGAACGAATAAAACATAGCATGGAAACGTACTGTTCAGAAATGATGAATTTATGGACAAACTACTGAACTCCTACATTATGAGCACTGTGGAACAGTTTGATCTGAACTGCACTGCAGCCAGAGTGTTGTTAAATGCCATGCCTGGGCTGGAAAGTGCTGCAGTTTTTCAAGATATGGTAAATTTAGTAAGGTATTCGAAATCCTTCAACTCTCAAGATCTGATTTAAATTCTCTCCTCTAGCTGCTACACATTTCCTTGTAAATTCGTTATAAGAATTTGGTGTTTCACACTTTTACTTTTTTTATTTTCATAAAAAGATAAGATATTAGATCAAGATGATAACTTCTTCTTGAGAGTCTGACTATTCTCATTACCTTTTTGCTGGATTATTATAGGGAGAAGTTACATGTTAATCACTTGTGGGAGTTAAAGTGTTAATAATCTTAAGATGTGACATTTTTTCGTCAGCTTGAGTTCCATGTTTAAGTCCAGAAATTGTGTCCACTTTCTGTGGCATGGCACTCCCTCCTTTTTAGGAAAAAATTAAATACTTAATATTAACTCGCACAATTTCTACTTTATCAAATTATGGATGAAAAAAATATATGAATTTCTTTTAGTTACGTTATGAAAAAGAAAAAAAAAAAAGAGATTTTATTTGTTGCT